GTTGTTCTCAACCAGCACGGTGCTTCTTAAAGGGTGGCTTTCAGACGGGTGGGAACGTAAACAGGAGTAAATGAGGCGAAACTCGACGTGATTGATGTGCTGCATTAGCTTTTACCCCAGATGACCCTCCAGCCCCAAGTGTCTCTGAAACCTGAGCCTCACCTGCTTCTTGCTGTGGCCACAAGCGCACCAGGCGTAGCGTTTTCCAGCAGACAGCTTCACCCTGTAGGGAAGCCGGGCGGCAGGAACTGCCTGGGTCGACTCCAGACAGCACTGAACCTGGGGCACAAAGTGAGACACAAACTTAACTTATCGTCCACACTAATGGATAGCACAACATCCTGCAGTGACACATCCTGTGTGGTCGAAGCCAAAACACAACTCCAGGCTCTCAGAGGGCTGTTTGAATAACAATCAGAGTGATGGAGTGCTGCCTCACATGACCCGAGGCATTCGCAATCACACAAACTCCTTCAGGTTTACTTTGAGAACCCAAATTAAAAACGTTTGTTTTGCTTACGTCACAAAATGACACTGTAATCGCTGTGATGTCGCCGTTTTGGTTCCACTGGATAAAATACTCAAACAAATGAATAATAATGTAAAAACTTTGAATAAGTGGGTCTACATTTTTACACTCAAGCTTAACCCCACAAAGAAAAAGAGGAAGTGGGACTGGGAAGTCAGATTAGTGCTTTCTGATTATAGTTTTAAGTTTTTTAACCTCTGGAGCTGAAAAATGAGACTGTCACAAACTGCAGTTCCTCTGAAGTCCTCTAAAAGATGGACAGTCACCATGGCATCGCCTGTTTTGAAGTCTCAAGCGGAGCGGTTCCTTTCAGACGGTAAAGGTGACCAGAAATGACTAAATGTGTCGCCTTGAGGCGACATTTGTTGTGATTTGGCGCTATATAAATAAAATTGAATTGAATTGAATTGAATCAGCATGACCTGAAACTAACCTCTGAGCCCATAAACTCAATATGAAAGAGCTTATTAAGGTCATAGAACAAAGAGTCGCTCTCAGATAACCCCTGGCTTTTTGGAAAGCTGAGTTCATCTTTAGTGTCACACGCAGGCCTGATTACAGTCAGACCAGCTGAATTCAGAAATCACTTAAACAGAACCAGAAGTGAAGCAGGAGAAAAAGCTCTCATAGAGCAACACATCATGCCACGATCTACAGAAACAGAAGAAACAAAGCCATTGACATGTATCAGTGTGGAAAGGGTTTCAAAGCCATTTCTGACAGAGTCCAGTGAATCACAGACTCATCCAGGAGGTCACAGGAGAAACCAGAACAACATCTGTGGAACCGACTTGCCTCAGTGAAGTTTGGTATTCAACAACAAGAAAGAGACTGGGTGAAAAGGAGGGCTCCATGGAGAAAACCACTGCTGACCGAAAAAAACATCTCGACCATCCACAAGAGTCTTGGGAAAAAGATTGTGCGGACTGACGAGATAAAAGCAGAACTTTTTGGAAGGTTTGGGTCCTGTTACATCTGGGATAAATAGCATTTCATTAGAAATGGTAAATGGCCTGTATTTGTATAGCGCTTTACTAGTCCCCAAGGACCCCAAAGCGCTTTACAGAACCAGTCATCCACCCATTCACACACACATTCACACACTGGTGATGGCAAGCTACA